TCAAAACAGGTATCCAGTTCTGCTGATCATACAATGAGGCAATCATCATTGTACCGGAGGAAGAACGCGCCGTCAAGTTATGCCGGATGAATTTATTGGTGAAACGGGAAGGTCGCCATGTATGCGAATAAGGAAACAACTAGACGATTTGCGAAAAGTAATGGTACCTCCCCCCTTCCCCTAAGCACACGTCGCAAGCTGCAACATCAGAATAATGGATTCGAAGTCTCGGTATCAATTCTATCGCAAGAAACTGTGGTGGCGGCGCGCGAGACGCCTGTCTAAAATCCAAAGAAAACCAAAAACAAACAGGGAAGAAGGCATTGCCATAACAAAAGAACTTGCGCCATTCCTGGATTTATGCGTACTCAGATCTACATCCCCGCCTATAACCCCTCCACGGCATAAGCCAATATCAACTGACGTATGCCTATTCGGTGGTCATGGTCGGTTTCCTCAGCATCATAAGGCAAGCTGTCTTTCATTGGCTTCTGAGTTTACTTGTGTGACTCAGTATTTTCTGCAAGCAATTGAAACGTTTGGGAAAGAACATCTTGTATGTCCTTCACTTTTCAGGCATTGACGATGCGAAAAGCGTAATAAAAAAAATTAAACAAGCGTAAGCCTAAGAAACCGTTGTAACAATCCTGGGTTACGGCTAATGCTCAAAGTAGTATATAACGATGCCAAGACATTGAAATTTGAACATTGGGATTATGAAGGGTAACAGCAGCACAATATCTGCAAAATATCAGTTTAGGTGGCAGAGCGTACTTCCACAAAATTCATGCTAAATAGGGTAGTGTCATTCTCCTTTAAAGTTTAGGCTTGAGGTTCGTAGCACTTAGCCTTCCGTACTTTATGATAGACATCTTTGATCACCTCTTCAAAGGTACGCTGAAAGCATCTCGCTGTTTCTCTCTAAAGTTGTTAGGGTTACTTATTATTGTAGGACTACAATAGACATAGGTAGGAATATTCAAATAATTATGAGATGACTAATTTTGCACATATACGTTTGAATACTCAAAAAAATTGTAGTGTACCATTTCTAGGACTACTTTATTTTAGTTGCCTTTGAGCAACTTTATGAAATGTGATTTACGATCAGTTATGACTATACATAGCAAAGTTCAGGCCAAGACTGTTCACTGGTACAACTCCGCTATCAGATAGCACCCAGCGTATGGGTGTACCTTCACCAGGTCCTCCTCATGTTGAAGGTAGCAGCACTGGAGCGAGACCAAGTGGTGAAGGCTCGCGAATCGGGAGTTTAGCTACCGTCACTGGAAGGGCGCTTGAATCATCATCCCAAGTAGGTTGCGTAATTTAAACATCCGGACCTCGAATACATGAACTTAAGTAATTGAAATGAGATAAGGAAAAAAATAGTAATTTTATAAGCTTGTTTAGGAGTACTATCTAAAAAGGATTTCTTTCAATTTTAAATATTGCTTGAACTTATGTTAGATAACTAGATGAAATTCACTCCCGCGCAGCCCAGCATTGTTTCCATCCGTTTCTGTCTTTCGCTAGCGTCATCTGCGATGCTGGTTAACTGCGGCGGCAACGCATGCGGGGTCAGGTTTAATCCTTAAAAGCCAAAAATTCAGCTGTCGGCAACGAACGCGTCAGTCCATCTAGTCGGCCTCCCTCTAAGACGTTTTGCTTCGCAAGGGATACATTGCAGAGTTCTCAGTGTCCCTTATTGTCTGTCCTTATTATAAGACAAGCCCATCGATGTTTTGCTTGGAGACGTGTCCCGCTGGACCACAAAGACGAGACATTGGTCTCACACAACTGCGAAGTCTGGCGAGATGTTGAGCACATTGGTTGTACTTGAAGAAGTCGTTCCAGTAGTCTGCAAGTCAATAGAGCGTTCGACGTAGCCGCAATGTTAGGCCAAGCCTCTGCTGCAACAGAGTGCAAGGGGAACGGTTGAATTGAATAGGTAGACTAAAATGGGTCCGTCAGCTAATGCTTCCTTTGGGGGCCCAAAAGGACCCAAGCTGCTTTTTGCCTTCGATTTAGTTCTTCTTTATCATTTCTCATGTCATCGGACGTCTGAGAAATACGTAAGAAGAGGTCTTTGCAACCAGAGCCTTCTATTTCTATTTCCCAATCCTCTCAAAAAGCGATCTTCATAAACTGAGTCTTCCGTGATTAATTCGCAACCCTATTTGCTACCTAATTTTTTTAGTTTCCAATACTTCAATGAAATCCCTCAAGAGGAGAACAATGTTGTCCGCAAAACGAAGGTTCGAGAGGAATTTTCCATCATCTCGTATACTTCTCTCTTTCCAATCCAGTGATACCGTCA